TCTTCCGTCCGTCCGTCCGACTACCTTTCATCCATCCATCCGTCCTTTCCGGTCATAGCTCATTTAATATGCAAAATACTTAATTATATATGCAAAAATGTGGTTAACTTCCTTGGTAGTATAATGTATATAGTATAATGGAGGTAACTTTATCTAAGCTTAATTGCTTTGACTTGTCCATATTTGTATTTCGCTTCTAAATTGCAACTCGTTATTAATTAAATTTATAATACCTAGTACAGGGGTACATCTCTCTCTTTACTCAAGGTCGGTATCTGAGACGGGAGTTCCAGTATACATGGCCTATGTAGAGAGAGTGTTTTGTGGCCCCTCTTGGGGATATTTCGCTTCTAAATTGCAACTCATTATAGTGTTATTAATTAAATTTATAATACCTAGTACAGGGCTACATCTCTCTCTTTACTCAAGGTCAGTATCTGAGACGGGAGTTCCAGTATACATGGCCTATGTAGAGGGAGTGTTTTGTGGCCTCTGTTGAGGATATTTGGCTACCAAATTTGTAACTAAAAGAATTATTAAATTTCATGAATGCTATTGAAACTGCAGTGTGCCATGCACCAATAGTATTAATGCTACACGTACCACATGCAATGCAGTGGAATCTTAAATAATATCTGAAATTTACTTTTCTAATAATTTCTTTATTGATTCTTTTTCTTCCATATCAATCTGCATGGCATGTCATGTCATGACTGGATACTGGGAGAGAATAAATACTCGAGACTTATAATGGCAGACAGAGGTAGTGGACCCGGTTGCTTCATGAACTGATCCTTGCACTGCTGCAGCTCTCAGTACGACCATCAGAACTGTTTGTGATGCTGCAGATTGCTGAAGTGATCACCGGACGTTTCCTGTCCTAGGAAGGAGCCTGTGAAGAACTGATTACTCCATCAAATGATCATGATTTTATATTTTGTTTTTATACTATGTCAGAAAATTATGTAATATTTAAGTTGTCAATATCTTTAATTATGATTTTATATACCGGTATTGTTTTCATACCATGTCAGAAAATTTGATTGATTTAATTAATACCCATTTAAAATTAAAGTTCTTCTGTAATATTTAAGTTTTCAATATCTTTAATTTTGATTTTATATTATGTTTTTATACTATGTCAGAAAATTTGATTGATTTAATACACATTTCAAATTAAAGCTCTTATGTAATATTCAAGTTTTCAATATCTTTAATTATGATTTTATATTTTGTTTTTATACTATGTCAGAAAAATTGATTTATTTAATTAATACCCATTTAAAATTAAAGTTCTTCTGTAATATTTAAGATTTCAATACTTTTAATTTGGATTTTATATTATGTTTTTATACTATGTCAGAAAATTTGATTGATTTAATTAATACACATTTAAAATTAAAGCTCTTATGTAACATTCAAGTTTTCAATATCTTTAATTATGATTTTATATTTTGTTTTTATACTATGTCAGACAATTTGATTGATTTAATTAATACCCATTTAAAATTACAGTTCTTCTGTAATATTTAAGATTTCAATACTTTTAATTTGGATTTTATATTATGTTTTTATACTATGTCAGAAAATTTGATTGATTTAATACACATTTAAAATTAAAGCTCTTATGTAATATTCAAGTTTTCAATATCTTTAATTATGATTGATTTAATTAATACCCATCTAAAATTAAAGTTCTTCTGTAATATTTAAGATTTCAATATTTTTAATCATGATTTTATATTGTTTTTATACTATGTCAGAAAATTTGATTTGATAGATTTAATTAATACCAATTTAAAATTAAATTTCTTTAATTTATTTAAGTTTTCAATATTTTCAATTATTAGTTGGACCAGTAGCATACGCAGGATTTTTCACAACGACTCAGCCAGCCGCTGAATAAGTGGGGGGGGGGGGGGGTAGTTAAAGAGCACATTATCATTGTGAGCCTGTGTTTACATCATTTTGTCTTATACATGTAACTGTTATCATCTGAATCTTACAAAGAAAAGGGCATACTTATATAATATTGGTGAAAGGGGGGGGGGGGGGGGAGAGCACATTATTATTGTGAGCCTGTGTTTACATCATTTTTTTTCTGATACATGTAACTGTTATCATCTGAAGAATGAAATGAAATGCAATTTTTCAAAGAAAAAGGGCATACTTGGTACACATATTTTTTGGCTAAATAGATTCTGACTTCTTGAAATTATTTTAAATTGTTTAAAAAATGAAAAGGGGTATGATAAAAAGCATATCACATCCTTATGAAATAGGCCAGATCCAAGAGCATTTTGCTTGGTTGCACATATATTTCAATTGCGACTTATGATCGCAAACGTGGGCCGTAGGGGAATTTTCCAAACTATTGATTTAGGCTGTTGGGTTTTTCGCCCCTACTTGGAGATGAAGTATGACGGTGCAGTTTTGGAAGATGCACCGTTGTAGTAAATTACTGTAATCATATATCTATTATCTACATTTGAAATGTACCGATAGATTATTCAATTTTTTTGTATAAACATTGCCACTTAACGATAGAACGTAACTTGGTCTAGATATACATTGCTTGAATTATTTTTGCATGCAAATTACTGTAGATATTCAGCTACATGTATCCTTCACTTTTTGAATGATGATCTTAAGATGATTGCATATTTTCTCATACCTGCATACAGACTGCAGAGTATTGTCTGTGTCAGACAAACAGTTGTAAATAATTGTAAATTAAAAAATCAACCTGTGATTGTTGGTGGAATAACACACAAATAATGAATACAAGCCTTTCTTTTGTACATAAATAGGAGAACTAGAGAGCGAGGAGGGGAAAACTACTGAAATCTAGATTTAGGGAGAGAGAGAGGGAGAGATCGAAAGAGACTAGGCAGGACAAAACACGAGATTGATATGAAAAAGAGAACAATAAAATAAAAAGATAATAATACAACAAAATTGGACAATGTTTGAGTCAGAGAGCGAACAATAGAATTACGAGCAAGTAATAAAATGGTGCGTACAAATGTTAGCTGAAGATGGGGAAAATGAGAGACAAAATAGATATTAGGGAGTGGTAATGAGCGGATATAATTTCAAAGCACAAATCATGCAACATGCAAGGGTAAGAAAAGAGAGTGGGAATTAAAGGCTACATTAAATAATGCAATCGATAGTCAAAACAGAAAAGAATGATAGAAATTGAAATTTAAAAAATATAATAAAGCACAACAACTTGTTTGTTTTTATCATTAGATAAGTGAAAGAGATCGAGGTCATGGTAACAAAAAAGTGAAAGGGAAGGGGGAATCAAGCAAAAAAGAGTGATGTGATCCGATGAACAAATGAGTACAAAATAATTAAAATCATGTTGGCAGTGTCAAGCCAGACGGCAGACAGCCAGCGATCAATGCATCATGATTATACCAGCCCATTGAAGCTAGTGCATTGACGAAATCACCGTACACTCAGCTCACTCAGTCACTGCATGCATTGCACTGCACTAGCAGTTGTGTACCTATAGCTACAACAGCACGATTGTATTTTGATCTGAATCTAATATCATTAAGGATCAGGCGGTGTAAGGAAATACCAAAGTATTTTTCGCAACAATTAATTCATGCAACAAAGAGATTGTTATGAATACGCACCTGAGCTTGGGAATCCCCCCCAGCTGAGCTGACGTGATGACTCAGCGCGCGATCGCCAGCTGCTGCCAAGCTTGGCTCAGCTGAGATCACGTCATCATCGCCCAGCCAGAAATGCAGCGCATGCGCACGAGGGAGCGATGACATCATGTGAAATGTCACGGGTCATCTGGAGAACGGACGCGTATGCGGATGCACACTGAAGACGAAGGAGGAGGAGTTTAACGATCGCGCTCAATAAGCGCCGCAGCTAAGCAACAGGCGTACGCTCTGCATATAGCGCTACGCAGATTGCTGCTCGAGCTGCTCAGCTGTTGAGCACAATTTGCAACTCTGCGTGTAACATCTTTTTCGACCATTCTGATCAAAATCGTATGAATATTGAATAGATTTGAGGGGGCTGTATCTTTTGATAGAAACATCGGTTAGTCTTGAAATTTAGAATGGGTAGTTATGAGTCAATGATTTTTCTAAATATCCAACAATAATGGTGACAAACGATCCGAAAGTGAAAATTGAAAAATCGTCCAGACACCCTACCTAGATAATACTAGGCCTAGACTAGACTAGATCTAGACCTAGGGAGTAGGGTAGGGTCTATTATTATCAATTATCATTAATTGTCATTATTCTCCTCATCCCCCCTTGGCCTTTCGCTCCTCCGTCTTTCCCCCTTTCCACCTTTTCTCTCCTCTCTTACCCTTTCTTCCTTTCCCCTCCCTCTTTTCTTCTTCTTTCTCTCTTCCATTTTCTTTCTTTTCCCCTCCTTTTTTTGTGTGTTACAGGGGGAGGGGCACGTGCCCCCTGTGCCTACCCCCCGACTAGATCTATGCTAGAGCTAGGTACTACTAAGGTAGCCGGCCCAGGCCCAGGGCTAGACCTAGATTCTAGTCTCGATAACTTCTAGTACTAGACCTAGATCTAGTCTAGACCTAGACTAGATCTAATAAGTTCTAGAAAATACAATCCAAATCAAGAAGACAAGACTGTAACTTGTGAGTGTGAAGACACCATGATCAACACCGTCTCTGACGAGTTTGAACAGTCGACACTTCACTTGTCTTTATTTTGTTCATCACTTTTAAACTTTTAGCCACTCAGCTCAGATCAGAAATCAAGAATTTCAAGGCCGAAATAAAAGAAAAAAATACAATCAAAAATGTGAAATACTAATCATGACAACTTGACATGGATCAATCACGACTGCACAAAGCCACAAGCACCACAGCCTTTCATTTCTCAAACTTTTTCATTCATTTTCTAGACCTATTTAAAAACCAATTAGTTTAGGCCTAGACTAGACAAGCCTAGAGTGGATCTATTCTAGATAGAGGTCTATAGAGTTTCACTCACCATTTTCGATGATTTTCAGGTGATCAGTAAGAATTTAGAGTAAATTTCTTGAATAACGTCGGCGGGAAACTTGACGCAACGCTTGCCAACAACAGAATGATAACGATGCATCTAAAGCGCGTATCGAATGTGCAGTTTCTACGTAACAACGGTATAAACAAAAGTAATTCATCCAATGATTAGCAAATATGGCAATACGTCACTAGGAAAATGAACCAATTACATTTTAGAGATGAAATGCTCCCCACGCGCATGATATGAGCGCGCTAGGCCCAGACGCGCAATTAAGCATGGAGAGGATTTATGCTAAGCGCATATCATCCTTCCTTTTGTTGCGTCACAATAAATATATAAAGATAATAGACGTAGAAATATAGGCCCCTAGATGACAAATTAATTTTATGCGTGCCAGATTTTAGTTATGAAGAGAGAGAGAGAGAGAGAGAGAGAGGGGGGGTAACAAAATATATTTTGTTATTAATGTTAGATTAGTTTATGTTTATTAGTTTTCTTCGACTAAAAGACTCAAATATTTTGTTCACGTCCTACGAATGAAACCCACAAGATACCCCAAAATTGCTGTTGAAGGAAACGTCGCAGCAAATCGACTCAGAGCCTGGCCGTCCACCCAAAAGATGGCTTGACCGCATCTCAGAGGACTGCAAAGCAAGATCCATACCAAGGCTGACAGATGCATCAAGATTGGCTGCAGACAGAAAGACTTGGCATACCATCATCATACAGAAGCCATCACGAGGCCCCTGGCCTGCGTGGACGGCATAACTTATAAGTCAAGTAAGTCAAGTCAAGTTTATGTTATTAAAGATTTATGACATACATGTATGCGTGTAAACTTCTTGAAATTATTGGTTGAAATCAGGGGCGTACGCAGGATTTTTTCAAGGGGGGGGGTTTTAAAATATTATAAGCGGACACATTTTTTTTTTTTTTGGTCTCGAAATTTCATAATTTGACATTTTTTGTCGTTGGGGGGGGGGGGGGGTAAGGTCACCTTATTTAGGTTAGCCGTGGGTATAATTTTTTTTTAATTTTTTTTTTTTTTATAAAAAAAAAAAAAAAAAAAGGGGGGGGGGGGTTTTAGGTTTTTTTAGGGGGGTTTACATACATAAAGATACCAAAGGGGGGGTTTGAACCCCCAAACCCCCCCCCCCCCCCCCCCTGCGTACGCCCCTGGTTGAAATCTACTCTTCTTACCAGACATAGTTTGCACAAGTTTTTTACTTTATCAAGTTCATACCTAAGCATTATTTAGAAGGAAAAATGAAAAAGTAACGAGTTCACAGAATATAACGTATCATGAGATGGGAGCTTAAGAAAGAAGTTGAAAAGGGAGGTGTGATAATTTGTTTACTCTCACTCCATTCCGACCGACGATCACGTACGCAATTGTGAGAACTTTGATTAACTGCATCATATTTGGATTTATTGCAGACATATCAGAACCGAGTGGGTGTGCTTATAATAACAATTAATCTATAGTCCCTCGATTCAAATTTGTTTGTCCAAGGTATTTTGAAATGGAAGATATTAAAAACTCGTCAAAAGGAAATACAGGTGTATACATTTTAAGCGCTTTATAAGTAACGTTTTTATTATTATCGCTCATAACAATGGGTTGTGTGTCCGGACGCTTAACGAAAATAATACTGTCATTTTCGGTCTTCGTATTCAAGGAAAGTATGCTTCAAATAGCACTAACCATCATCAATATATCTCCTTTTTAATATTTTCTGAAATAGGTCGTTAAAGATTTATGAAATAAATTTTTCATGTAAATTTCTACAAATTACCGGTTTAAATTAACTGTCCAGATACATTCATGTACACACCTACAACTCATACCATGTAGATGACATATTAATCACATACTCATTTACTTTGCTCAAAATGGAACCTTTGTCTCCCTAAATGGCAGCCGTGCTAAAGCCAGGGTAATAATCGGGAGCGCCAGGAGTGTCAAGTCTGACAGACATGAGCGCTATAATACAAGAACCAACTATTATTTTTTTATATCAAACAAAAACAAAAATTGGGGAGGTGGCCTCAGGGTATAATGAATTGTCATCATCCATCATTGATTGAATTATTAAGGACAGGGAAACATATGAAATGAAATTGAACTGTTCTGCATGGGAAGCTTTCAAAATTGAATGTTATCACAAACTCAATCGATCTTTCCATCCTTCATTCGTATAAAAAAACATAATAATTGTCATTGTCGAAACTATATAAAATATTAGTATATTTTATATAGTTTCGACAATGACAATTTATGAAGAAATTCACATTCGTCCAAATTAATTGCATTCCCGATCTAACGAACAATCTTGGAATTTGAAGAGAAAAACAAATGTGTACCTCACTATCCATTTACAAAATAGTTTATGAATGATCAGTTACTGTAACTGATCATTCATAAACTATTTTGTAAATGGATAGTGAGGTACACATTTGTTTTTCTCTTCAAATTCCAAGATTGTTCGTTAGATCGGGAATGCAATTAATTTGGACGAATGTGAATTTCTTCATAAATTTATATTCTCAAGTGCCATCGGACGCCAACAGGGCACTTTCTTGACCATGTCATACACACATAATTTTAAACATAGATAATTCCCCCCCCCCCCGCCCTTTCCTTCTCTCTCTCTCTCTCTCTCTCTCTTGTCATTATACTTTCGATTCTCATGTCATTTCTCCTGCCAATCATCCCCCAAAATCCATGTATCCCATATGATCACTAAAGAAGAAACACACATTGGTTTGGAAATAAAAACATACCACATGTGTAGACTGGTGAACACAGAAAGCTAGGAGCACTTTGCATTTATGGAAGGATGTTTAATTAAATATAATACATACATCTCAAATAATGAGACCTAGGCATACATAAAGACAGAGAAATGTGTAACTTAATTCTACATAATCAGGCCTAAACTAAAAAAGAAAAAAGAACTATGATAGGTTTTAATATTTATAGCATAATTTGTTGCAATGGTCTGCTTACATTGTTCCTCCATGATTACTTAACACTCCGCTGAACACGTAGTAAAATTGAAATGAAAAGGGTCATTTTAACTATAACTTTGTATTGTTCACATCATATATATCTTTCTCATTGACATTGTACTGATTTATGCTGCCAGGTGAAAAATCAAATAATAACAGTCATGGCCATATTTTCAAGGTAATGGATGTAACAGCCCACCATACATATGACAAACTGTCTATCCATGCTTCTATTTGTGCCGAAATTTTTCTTATTTTTAGAAGGTGGTTGTCAAGAGGCATTGCATAAATACAACTTCAAGCACATTTTCTCATAACTCTTAACTCCATCAGACGTACAGCGGTACATGAATGATATACTTCACACAATGTAGCAGTCAAGGGTTTCCATACATGGTGAATAAAGAATTAAGCAAGATTTCTTTGAACAGTTAATCAATGGTAAGAGCAAGTCGTTCAAAATGTGATAGACTTTGCATCATGCAGGTAAATGTAGTGGACTGTCCTTCATTCTGTTTCAATCATCACAACAAAGGTTGAAGATCATTGCCCTGTAACAAGGCATGATTCCATCGACGTATAACACAAAAAATACCTCCTAACAAAATGACCATAACTAAATCTGGGTACAAAGAGGCAACTATTGATGAAATAACTTGTTTCAAAGAACATATTTCTAAGTAGTGATGAATACTTAAAAATATCAACAAAAGGCGCGTGAAAAGAGCAACTTTCCTTCTTATTAGGGGATCAAGAGCAAGGTTTGAGCTCTATTCAGCCTATCAGGAGATATTGCTGTTATTCTTTCATTTAATGTTATTGTTTAAACCCAGCCACTAATCAAAAAATGATATACACAAAGTATCATTTCCTTTGAACCGCAAACATTGGAGCTGACTGAATTATATGCAGAAGCCCTTACAAAATACCCATGAATTATGAAGGATAAATTTTGCTAACATACTTAAAAGTATTCCTCTATAGTATTAATAACTGTTTAGAGTAAAATAAAAATTGAACATAGTAAGTAATCTAATTCCTCTTTCACATAAACATAAGTACAATAATAAAAGAGCACTCACAAACTCTGTACTCTTTTGTACAATTTGTTTTGCACAGTCCCAGTATAAAGAAGCCAAAGTGATAAAACCACTTACTCTAAGAACGGTTTCAGAAGGAAAACAAAAAAGATCAGAAGGAGGACACTACTTGTCAATGTGAGTTGATGAAATCTTTCCCGTGTAACTTTCTCATTGCCTTTGGTTGACTTCACAACACATATGTCAAATATTTCCCCCAAACTGACAACTACAAGCTACAAGCCAAAAGCAATAAATACAATATCATCCATGCTTCCACAATATCATGATGTACAGTCATGTATCACATCACGCATATCAGGTGTATTTTGAGCAAATCATAAGAAATGCAATTTAATTTTGCTCAAATGAAATAATCTTTTCACAAAAAAAATACTGAACTTGAATTCATCTACTGCAAAAGCAATATCATTAACAAGACAGTAAGAAAAATGTTATGCATTCAATGTTTGATTTGAATTTGTTACATATATTCTGCATACAGTTACTTAAAGTCGTCCCCAAGGAACTACAAACTATAAATTGGAAGAAGAAATAAATTGATATCAGAGGGAAATCATGGAGAGATATAGATCAAATCTCCTTTTAATGTACACTGGAATGCAGAAAAACAAAGAGCCGTATACCAGTAAATATTTTTGAAGACACTTGATCCAGGTTAAGCTACAGGATAGGAGTGATAACCATCAATAATTATTTGATGTAAATAGTCTCCACCATAAGAAAGGAGTACCCTGAGCAGAAAGTAATTATTGTAGTCAAGATTAGGAAGGTGATGGTTGGAAATTATGCTTCAAGGAGCCGTCATAATTACAAGTCAACATCACTCCATTAAAATGCGTATTGAATTTGATAAACACGTTTCAATAGATTGTCAGGCAAGTTGTACTTATTTATGACAGTTTCATGACACACTGCAATGATTTCTTTGATAAAGACTAAAAGTAAAACAAAAATCTAAAAGAAAGAGGTTAGCGGTGAAAATTAAACATAAAGTAAAGGATGAGAGAGAAAGAGAGAGGGAGAGAGAAGGATAGAGAAAACAGAAAGCAAATCTACAATACACATTCTTCACCTCATCATTGCATCTTCATACAAATAGGAAATAATACAATAATACAATTTTAAAAAATTACCTAAATCAGACAATATTTTTCATATGGACAATTTAGGCTAACAGTGAAGAGTTTCACTATGCATTTGCAAGGAGTATGTTTTTTAACATAAAAGGGTTCCTGGGCCTAAAATCTTTGAAGCTTTGCAAAAAGAAAGATGGGAGGTTACAATTAAATATCTACTATGAATCCATGTGCAGCAGACATCATTGGTCGACAGCCATGTTTTCTATTCCTTTTGCAATACCCTCTCCAGCATTGGCTGCTGCTGCATCTCCACTCTCCTGTGCTTTACCCTTCTTCTTTCCTCCCTCTTTCTGTTTCTTCTCTTTCTTGGTTTGTTGCTCATCAATTGGTGATGGTTTGGTGAACTTGATGAATTCTTTGTACTCTGAAGAAAAAAGTTTAAGGGAAATTTTTGTCATATGATGGTAAAACATACCCCATAGTAATGTTTTTTCCTGCATTTGTCTCAATAATGTAGTACTTTGAAAGATTTCTCCACACAAAAAACACATTTTTCAAGGGACAAAAATTTACGTTTTCACAATCTTGGGAATCAATGTGAATATGAGACCCATTAGTGCCCAGCCTAGCATTATCTAAAGATGAAATTTAGTTATCTGGTCATGCAATGAAAAAAAAAAACACTGTCTGGAAGCAATTTTGAAAGGTTGATTATAGATTATGATTACAGAAATTGGTTCATACTGTGAGGTTTTGGAACCATCAAACTGATAAGAAATGGACTAAATCTTGATGAAAAAGCATACAATGTGCACAGAAATGGCTATATTGGAAAAACAAACATGTGGCATGACTGTTCAGTCCAAACACTTCAGCTATTTCTTGTCTTATTTGAATATACTTATACTTGTATACCCGGTAGTGACTTTCTTCCAAACTGGCATAATAAGGATGAATAAGCTCACAAAAATCTTTCCATGCTTAACTGGACTAAATTCCATTTTAGTAATGATTGGATTTATATAGCCCCTTTTCCAAAGGATATAAGAAGATTAAGGAGAATGAAAGGTAAAGGTATGTATTAGATGTTTTTTAAAGAGATCAAATGAGGCATTCTTTCTTCAAAATGCAGGAAGGTTGTCCAAGAAGTATGGGGAAATGGATTTAAGGTCACTGTATTTACAGGTATGGGAATGTTCTGAACGCTGATGACTCACCTGGAGGCATGAATTCTCTGATAGCTTCTGGAATCACTATACCAGTCTCGGTTTGGTTGTTCTCTAAGATAGCACAAACCACTCGTGTGCTGGCACACATAGTAGAATTCAACATGTGCACATACTCCGCCTGCAAACAAAAGTTTAAAAAGTTATTATTTTAGTTGAGCCTGCATGTAAAGGCCACTCAAAAGAAAGAAAAAAAGGCATTATTTAAAGACAAGTGGTCATTATCTACCGGTTCCCATAGCAAGGTTTAAATGAGAATCACATATCAAGGAAAATGTGATAAATAAGTGGATTTCGTATACTGATAGTCACTACAGCACTTCACTTTTGCACTTCACTTGCATGGCAGGTCCTGAGCTGCTAAGAAAAATGGATATATCTCACAGTTTGTAAAAAAAAAGTGCACAGACGACGGTACAAGATCGTTTGGATATCTCATGGTTTGCTTGTGTGAACATACAAGTATGTATGTGAACAAATGCTCAAAGGTTATTAATTAAAGGCAGCAGATAGGTGAGTAAGCTGTAAGCTGCTGACTAATGAATTTTCAAATTCCCATCTATGCTTCAATCCTAAGACCATCTAGTTCTCATATTCCATGGGTTAAAACAGGAAGTCGATATTGATGCCCAACTTACACTGGCGTTCATTTTCTTTGTCTGTCCATAGCGTACAAGCAACCTCCTGGCCTGGTAATCGGTACAGTTTGAGCATGATACCAGCTCCCTGAATGCACCTGATCCAGCAAACCATGCCTCCAGATCCAGCTTCTTGGCTGCTGCATTGTTCAATGCACCTGTCAAACAAATAATGGTCAAATCGCTTTCATTATCACACTCGTGGAATATTAAGCCCAATACACACAAGATGACCAGAGTACAAATCTAATCTTGAGAGACTTGTATTTGACATGAGCGTTTAAACATGCAAATCTTAATAATTGAGGTTTGGAATACTTATATGAATAATTAAGTAACGTTAAACTAGATGGAACTTTTACACTGAATTAAAAAATATCTTTCATTATGGTATTTCAAACATTCAACTGCCAACAATTTTGAAGAGGATTGATAGCTTTCAGAGGATACAGGGACAATGGATGATATTGAAAGCTCTATCAACATAGAAAGTCATTACTTGGCAAGCTATTTTGTCCCATATGTAACCAACCACATCACAGAATTCAGCTGATAGCTCTACTAGAGCATGAATAAGATATTACAACAAATCGTCTGTTGGGAGCCACAAGGGCGTTAACTCCGTCTAAAATAATACTTGGAAATTTATGGGACATAGCTTGGACTTGCCCTACCAGCAGATCGTTTTTTCGTTCGTTCTTGTCTCCTTAGATCAAGATTAATGTATCTTGATCTTCGGAGTAGTTGCTACAACCGGCCGTGTCATGGGTGCGAGATAGGACTCTTGTAGCGTGCCCCCATTTAAAACAACTATACAATAACAGTTAACATTACATTTAATTAATAGTCTGAAACTATTAAAATTACTCTCATGTTACGGGAAAAAATATATTATATATATATATATATATATATAATATATTATAAATCAATTGATTCATAATATACTAACCTGAGACAATTCCTACTATCCTGTATGGAATGCCAAGAGATTGACAGAACTTTTCTGCATTATCCATCATCTCGTCAAACAGCAACCAAGACATGTTATCTTTAGGCGAGGCAAAGCAGAACTGCTCAATCTGTATCAAGAAATCATAAAAACTTATCTTCAGTTCTGATAGTGGACAGCACACAGGAATGAACCTTGTTCAGCATAGTCTTGAGTAGGTCAATTTGTATCATGTAGATAAATGTACATGTTTTAATATTCCAATCATGATTTCTGAACAATTAAAGTGTAAATGTCTGAAAGTAACTCCAACAGACTACAGGTGCTCTATGTCTGCCCCATACACCATCTAGGTGCAATCTCAGGTGTATTTGAATTTACATCCTGGCTGTGGATTGTAATTATTCTTAATCTTTCATTTCGTTTAACACACTAATAAGAGAAACAGTTTAGAATTGCAAATACCTTGCTATTTATCAACTAAATTAAACATATCTGACATGTCAAATCTACAAATTGGCATGAATTTCCATTAACCAAGAACAACTGCCTAGATGTTTCAACTGAATTTTCAGAATGTTTGAACCAGCAAAAGTATAGAATTAACAATAGCTTGCAGAAAATCACTTCCACAAGCCTCCATTAAAATCTTTGCACATGCTCATGCCCTACTTGTCTGATTTGATACTCATGTTTGTGTGTTCCTCAATTTGAAATTCATTTCTATGGGCCCTCTATAAAATTTGAAAATCTCTTTTGAATTTTTCTTTTTGCTTGTCCGATACTTTGACGTATTCATGTGCGTACTACCCCCTACTAATAATAATCCTGGATACACTACTACATACACAACAATACCCACTGACCTTTTCAAACTGATGAACTCTAAAGATGCCCCTAGTGTCTCGACCATGTGACCCAACCTCCTGCCGGAAGCAAGTTGAAAACCCTGCATACTTCTTGGGCAGCTCTGACGGAGACATCCACTCGTTTCTATGGAATGCTGCAATGGGCTGCTCTGATGTGGCTATTAAATATTTCTCTTCAATGGTATTCTCTTCCGACTTCTCACTTCCTTTTCCTACCACCTACAATTCAAAGAGAAAAATTGTGAAGTGGTCTGACTTAATGTGTAAAGATAAAGTATATCACATAGAAATATGCTAATGAATGAAGTTGCATTGGATACATTAAGAAATATTAAGTGTTTTGGTAACAGGCTAATATTTTAGATGAGCGATACTCAACAGAAATATAACTACAAATGATAAATACTTGCAATGGCTCTTCTCAATCAGAAATTACAATTTCCAAAAGGTAGTCTCTTATACAAAGTGAAAAAGAGAGGAAAAAAATCTAAATGTACGGATAAAATTGATAAATATCTGAAAAGAGATTTTTTTTTTTTTCTTCATATATATATATATCATCCATCCACTTGATATCAATTAAGTGTTACTCCGGGGGAGATATTCTGATAGAAATTAACTTGACAAGTTTGCAAACTGAATAAGAATTCCTAAAACACCTATCCAATCATAGACACAGGATAAGACTGTCAACATTTTAGTGTGATATATTATGACACATATACTTCTAACAAAATAATGAACAAATTCCTTGCTTTGGTAAATGCATCTTTGTACTAAGTCACACCACCAAACTTGACTCCAAACCTACAAATTTCAGGGGTTTTCTTTGCCAAATATAATCTGTTTTTATTCCAGACTATAGTCAGCCTGTGATCTGAGGTCAGTCTCATAGGTGTGGCTGAGGTATCTGTACCTTATAGAGTTCATCATCAAATTGGCTAAGTTGGGCGACCTCTTGCATAATCTCTTTGCGCATGAAGAACGGTGTGTAGAGGGGCGTGTAACCTCTGGAGGTGAGGATACGAAGTGCATGCTGTTGAACGGCTAGTGACAAGAAGACAGCTGCTCCCTGCAATATATTGAAGAACACAGTCAAACAATATGAAACATCTACAGCATATGAAAATGACAGCTTGCAAGGCCCATAGCTTACTACACTGACAGACAGCCTACAAGACCGATATTAAACTTCTGAAAAGGAAGGCGGCCATGAGACTGACTGTCATTGGATTTTTTACAACTTTTTAGAGGGTTAGAAACAAATTTGCCTTCAAAACTGAAACAGACTTGCTTCATACTGCTCCCTGATGTATTGTTGATTACATTCCTCCTTGTTTACAAATCTTGGCCAAAGAAATAACTCCTGTGTTGATTTCTTAGTTGTAATTGACAACCTGTCAATCTTTCCTTGTCTGCTTGACCTGCTTGTGTACATTTCATAAAGGTATTTCCTGTGTAATATACAACATGCCAATCAAGATTCTTTACATGTATATTTCTTATCTTTCTCATTCTCCTCTTCTTCATGTCTATAGATCTGTCTCTCTTTGAAGCAAAGGTTCCATACTGATGCGTGTACACTACTACTTCCATTGAAATGTCCAAATGCTATAGATATTCCTTAAGATAATGCTAACCCTAAATCCTAACTCTTGAGCCTAACCAAGGGAATAAATGACCATTAAACTCTAAATCCTATCCCTTAATCAAGGTTCAGGTACTTTGCCAGTCCCTCCTCAGATAAATAATTTCCACTATCATTTCCCACAGCTTGGTATATTTGTATAATACCCTTTTGGTTCTCAGCAGACACCATTGGTTGTACAATACAACACTTGATCCTGTGACAATTGCTTTGGTTAATTTCCTATAACAACCTGGCCAAATTCTTAACCTCAACCCTGGACCGAGCACTTTATGTTACCCCAACCCTAACCCTAAATCTAACCTAACATCCAATTGTAATCCTCAACCCAACTCTATACCTTTGATGGAAAAAGGCAGGGAGCAAATATGGAGGAACAATTGTTTTTACCTTGAGGAAGTATCCCCTGTTGCCAGCGACGACAGTCCCTCTCTCTGCCTCCATGCCATCAATCATGTGGATAAGATCAACATGGGAGTACTTCTTACGCACCGTGCAGTCACCATGCATCCTCTCTATCACATTCTCATCCTGAAACATGATACAATATCATCCAAGCAATCAGTGTTATTATCCTTCCAACAAGGCAATCAATCACGCCGTTGTCATAAAAGCACAAGGGGATGGTAAAAGCACCTAAAAAGTACTATCAGTACCCTGGCTTTAGCCCAGAAACTCATTCTGAAAGAGAACTCAATATGTCTGCAAAAGGGACAAGTTGTAACCCATTTTGAACCCATGTTTATGAAATAATATTGGAAAATGCTCTCCAAAATAGGGTGGAATTTTTTAATTCTGCTAGCCATCAGTCACACCACAGAACCAACTCCACACACCGACCCCAAACCAACTGATTCTTGGCCATAGGGGGGGTAATGCAATAACTGTTTGTTCAGTCTGTAGTTGCCTGGTGTTGGTGTAACTGAGGTATCACACCTTTGAATAGGAAGCAACACTACTGTATGGATAACAAGAAAAATGGCCCATACCTCATCATTGCTGACACGTACAGAGTCATGGAGCAGATTGCCTATCTCCCACAGACTGGCTTTCCTCTTATCTCCACACTCTTTCCTCTTGTTGTCACACTCTATGATACCATCTTCAACGAGCTGTCTAACCTTCTTCAGCTGTGCTACAGACAGTGACTGAATACAAAGAGAAATATTTATCAAACATAGGTTAGACTTTGATGCAATACAAGACTTTAACCCACTAACTACCAAATTATTTCATTCCCATAGCCTTTAATACAGAAGCCATCCAATGCCTGTGGGCAATGGGTTAAGTATGAAAGGGTCATTCTGCGAAAGTCTTCACAGGAGATGATTTCTAGGAAAAATGAAATGTATGAAATCAAATCAACACAACTCTTAATTTATTATAATTTCAGCTGAAGATTGTTCTTCGAATGATATAATATTTCAAAGAATTTGTTTAGCTTATCAAAATAATTTTTAAACAAACTATTCAATAGTTACCCGATTTGTCCTGTAACCATTGACCAACAAATGTCAATGGTGCATATTTTCAAGTAAATTTTCCATACCAATGTAAAATTTGTTTGACAAAATAAATATATTACATCAATGTAAATCTTGATTTTTTACCTAATGTGATTTTGTCCTCGATATCAAACTGATAATATGACAAGGAATAAATCAAAAATTTCTACATATTTCAAGGCAAACATCAAAGATGTTTGTGTTGCTCAATCACCTCAGAAGCTTGGTGCATTCATTGTAATTGTCACACAGCACGCATTCACAGGGGTATCAGGACAATTAACCCCTTGACAATCACCCTCCAGAAAAATACCCCCCCCCCCCCCTCTGTTCATTAAACAGGAAGTCTGCCCTGACACTAAATTGGTTTTAATAAAAGCAGACTCTAATTTTTCGGGATTTTTCGTTAATTTTGTGGGAGGTAATTGTCGTTGGAGGGGGGGGGGGGGGGTAATAGTCCCGCTGTTAATTGTCTGGGGGTGATTGTCCAGGTGTAATTGTCCTAGAACCATTTGCAGGGTATGTAGCTTTTGGACCTGCGTAGAATATCGACCCTTGGCCTTACAATTACTTTGAATACTTACGTGTGAGTCTAGTATCTCCCGTGTGAGGTCTCCTAGCTGTGCAGTAACTGCCTCGGGTACTGGTTCACTCTCATCTCCAACTGGCTCCTTTTTCTGCAGAACGTACATAAAAATACCAAAATTAATGATATGTTGCTGACATCTTACCAAATCTTTCTTACTTTTTCTTCTTACCGTTATTGGCTTTATCATCTATTTGTAAGAAAAAAAGGGTCATTTGGTGTTGTAAAAACGTTATAACAAACCTTCTAAATGATGTAGTGAGTAGTGGCTTTACTTCTAAATATACTTAAATATTAAGGATTATTCATACCTGTGCTACTTCTAATTCAATTGATTATCTGTATTGTATCAAATGCATTGCTGTTAGTTACAGCAGTGAAAACATCATTGCTTGCCAGTGGTCTAGTTGCATAACCATTGACAATTTCTTCCATTTCACAGTAATTTGTATTTGAACTTGACAAAGAGGCTTTGGTGACAAAGAGGCTTTGGTGACAAAAATGAGCTCAACTTTCTGATAGAGCCTTTAAACTTTTCAAGTTTATGACCTGCACTTACAATGAAATGTATTTGCTGAAGATAAGATGATAGCAAAGATATTTTGATAAGAACCTCTTTTTTCTCCTCCCCCTTACCTTCATTTTTTCTCCAATCATTTTACTGCACAGGTTTTTCAGCTTGTTGAGATTGTCTGCTTGATACCGTACTGGAGTGAATAAAAGTGAATTAAAGGAAGAAGAAGAAGGAGAGGGGGAGGGGAGAAGAAGAAGGAAAAATAAAAGAATTAAGCAATAAAACCACTATCCACATCTAACACAGGATACAAATACATCATTCAAATACATGTTTGAACTACACATTTAAATGAGCAATTGGAGATTTATTTAAACCCTACCCTACCCTCATACAATTAACCTTGACTAAACTTTAGTATGCCTATCATTGATAAGACAATAAGTAAATAAGCATCATTACTTTACTTATGGTTTATGCTTCATATGAAAATTGAATTGCATCAAACACCAGGCTATGCAACAACAATAAATTATTTTTAAAAAAATGACAAGGACAGTCAACAGTCAACCCTAACTTTACAATCTGCAAATCTATAAAAACAAAACACAAGCATGACAAGACTCCCCAATGCTAGTGCTAGATTCAACTCTAAATTAATTTATGATAATATCTACAGTATATTAGTTTGTATAGGTATACAAAGGTGCACGCAAGGAATTTCGCTGGATTTAGCGAACTCCTTGTGCACGCGCCTTTAAACACTAATTGCTATGATCACAAAGTAAGTATTAAATTGGCAGCGCAATAACAGTTTCTTTGGTGTACATACCAATTGTCTTTCCATATCAGCTGCAATCAACATTACATCACATACTCTTGTAAGACCAAGGGGTCAGCATTTTTGTTATGTAAATCGCACCTTAAAGTAGTCCACCCCTGGACTGTTGTGTACGATTTCGCTATCGTCTGGTTAATTGAGTGCACACCCCATAGCACACACACATGCAGAATAGATTTTTTTCGAGGAAAGTGAATCACTGGGGTAAGTGAATCACTGGAGTAAGTGAATGAGCACGGTAAGATGACTGCGCTATGGGTGCCAATCTACGACTTCTTTTGGCAACTGCACGTAAACAAATGGGACTTGATTTACGGTCAGCACGCACTAGCGTTCGCAAAATAGACCGAAGTTCTATCCTTACGCTTCTGTTTCGCTTTTGTTGCACGCACTTGAAATACTGCGGTCGCGTCGTGTGTAGTCGTATTATACCCGATCGGCCCCCCGAGTCATGCCACGGGAAAGACACGTAATCTCATCATGCTACACCCCTTTATTATTTTCAAGAACATGTGGAAGGTAAGCAAATCACCATCATTCCAGTATGAAAACCGCATATATATTTTTTAATTACTTGACTGATTTCAAAGTGCTTTGAAGAACGAGTTCACTAATGAACTCGAGCCGACGCGCTCGCACCTTTTTACACTAGCTAGACCTGATTGCTAATAGTAACGTTAATATCAAAGTGGCAATGCGATTTCGGTTGGAGAGAGAAGGGTCCGATACTGGCAATTTAGCGAACTCCAAAGCTAGTTTGCAAAATTCGCGGTGCAGGAATTGGTGATTAGATCTAGAGTCTAGATCTACAAAAGCATTTTAGTTTTTACTAACATTTTTTAAGGTTTTGTTTACATCACCATCACGCGGTGGTATACTATGGGTGCCAATTTAGGCTAGGCGATATTGATATCATATTTCATGACTCACCCAGCCCTAACTTTAACTTTAAGCCAGCGCCAGGCTAGCTACCCATGGCAATAACATCCAACGTTTGCTCTACACAACCACAACCATTGACAACGTAACAGTGCAGTGACCTTACATTTTCGCCATTCTGTGTCGGCTTCCACAACTTTATCGACGAGAGTCGCATCTTTGAATCGTTTCGCCTGGCTTTCCTTGATCTTCTCAGGATTTCCACCCTTGTCTGCGCGGAAAAGTTCAAGATCTAATACCATTTTGATCACAGATGTAGACAAATTTCAACAAATAGTGAAAGGTGGGAAGGGTTTCTTCACCGGTACCGGTATAAGAACGTCTACGTGGTTGATCGTGTACAAAATACATGCATGAATGTACTACACACGTTTTCCCTATTTGTTTTTAGTCTTAGTTACAGACAAAATAGTATATTATTTCCTAGCAGTTATAAAAAAAAAGTATATTTCAATACCATACCCCATAAAATATCACTCGGTTGGCAGTAGGCACTATAAAAGGACTAATTATTTTATTGTTTTAGTAACAAAATATCAGGGCGAGTGGATGAGAACAGACAAGAACCCTTTTCAAATAATCTATGCAGCATTTTTTCAAAACTACCACTTGTTAGAAATTATATTAACACAGGATTGCATCATGCTCCATACCAGAATTGTTGGGTTCATTAATAATTTTTTCCTTTTCTGTTCAGTATCTCGAGCAAGAAATGCGAGGTTACAGATTATGTATTAATACCATGCATTAGAAATAGAGGAGGGCATTAGCAGTTAAACGGGGGGTGGGATTAACCTGCCAGCCACCCCCCCCCCCCCCAAAAAAAAAAAAAAAAAAAATTAAAAAAAAAAAATAAATAAATAAATAAATAAATAAATAAATAAATAAAATAAAAAAAATAATAAAAAATAAATAAATAAATAAATAAATAAATAATAAATAAATAACAATTTAAACAAAATAATATATATATACTCTATCCACAAGCCCCCCAAAGGTTTTTCGATTGTAAATAGATTTAAGCGAGGCTCATTTAGAAAATTATTGCAAGAACGTCACCCCGCCCCTCAAGCCACTCCCCCTCAAAAAAAAAAATCCCCTGAGAGATGTGTGCTTCATCCAGGATTTCTTTTGTTGTTTCTTCATCATGAAGTCCCATTTTAGCTCTATGATACAAGTTTCTGGATATTTACTTATATATATTTACATATATTAATATGTGGCTTAGGTTTAATTGCAAATAAAATTATATCATTAACCATTCACAGTTATAATACAAAGAATGTAATCAAAAGAGCATCAATCTCAGTGGCGGATCCAGGAATTTCTTACGGGGGGGGGGCGGTGGGGTCACTCAATGTGACTTAGGGACCGCATGACCGTTACCAAAATCGCGGGAAAAGGGTCAATTTCAAACAATGTCCACGGACAAAATATTCCTCAAAATATAGAAAATAGGGTGCACAGGACTGTCCTCGAAATTGATAAATAGGCCCGGTCAGAAAAAGGAAAGAGAAAACCAGGAAGAAGAAAAAGTATAAATGTCTTGTCCTTGAAATACGGTAAAATAGGGGTAAATTTGCGAAAGTGTCCTTAAACAATCTTTTATAGGGGTATTCAAAATAACGATTTTGTCCCTTGTTTTTGACGTAAAAAAAGGGGCCGAATTTCACAAAATGTCCTTGAAATTGACCGCAAAGGGGGGTTATTTGCATTTGTGGTAACGGTCATATGCGTCACCCTCTGCGGGGGAGTGATCCCAGGGGGGGGGGCACAAAATCGCATGGGGTGAAATATATAAAACGATGGAGCGAGGCGTCAGCGTCAACCGGGGGTGGGTGTGGGAGAGGGTCAGAACCCAGTCTTGGAGTAGGAAGCATTTGCAATTTTAGAACTGACCACATTATGCACATTTTCAGGCACTTCCTGGAGTAATATGACGTAAAATTGCTTTTTCCTACCCCCTCCAAGAGCAGGGATCTTTTGCAATTTGAGAACCACATTTGGCGCATTAATGCCTACCGGCACTTCCTGGAAAAAAACGAGGCCTTGTGATTCAGGCGCGGATCCAGGATTTTCCAATAGGGGGGGGGGGGGGGGGGGGTGGGGGGGGGGGGGGGGGGGGGGGCGGAAATTCGAAATTTGCGCAGACCGTTTTTCAAACTCAACATACCAATTCTGACAAGGTTATATTAGAAGCACCATACCAGTGCAATTTATTTGACATTTTCATTGGGGGGGGGGGCTTTAGCCTCTTGCCCGAAAAGTAATTTTCTGGTTGCACAATTCGGCTCGTGAGCGATCGAGCGAAAATTTGAGCATATGTATTCTGTGAAAGTGTTATTTATCACTAAAATAAAGGAGAAAAGATATCAAAAATTCATATTCGGGCAGCTCGCTGTTCCATCCACCCCCCCCCCCCCCATTACGCGAGAAGCGCAGAAGCTTTGATGTTTCATGAAATTATTAGAGAAAGAAGAGGATTCGTTGTACCTTTCTCGACTCTTAATCCTTGTCTGAATTTAGTTCCTCCCCAGGCGCGGATCCAGGGGGGGGGCCCGAGCGGACCTTGCCCCCCCCCCCCCCCCCCCCCACAAAAAAAAAAAAAAAAAAAAGAGAGAGAAGAAAGGAAAAGAAGGGAAAGGGAAAGAGGAGAGAAAGGGAAAGAAAGAAGAAGAAGAAGAAAAGAAAAGGGGGAAGGGAGATCGGGGGGGACCGAAAGGGCCTTTCCCTCCCAGGCTGTTGACTCCCCCCCCCCCCCCCCCCCCCCTCCAATCAAAAAAAAAAAAGAGAGAAGGAAGAAAGGGAAAGAAAAAAGGAAAGAGGAGATACTGGCGTACTAATAGGGGGGGGGGCTTTGGGGAAATCAAATTCAAACGTGGTTTTATTTTTAATTCCACAACGGTGGATTACAATAATGCTGAAATGACATAATTTCCGAGATTTGTCCTCACTTTTTAGTAAATTATACGATTGTATATGTGTTTGTTGGAAAATGACAAATTCCTAAATTTACAGCCAGGCACGAAATATGATTCTTGAGATTCCTACATGTCAGGGCCCGAGGTACGGCAGGGATCGGGAGCCTCGAGCTCCCTCCCCCCCCCCCCCCCCCCAATTTATTTGAAAAAGTATATTAAAGAGGAAAAAAAATAGAATGAGCGCAAGAAAGAACGAATAGTTAACTGCCAGTGTTAAAAAATGAGTCATCAAAATATGCTCATCTGACCGTGATTAAATGCCTAAAACCCTTAAGCTTCCGGGCTCTGCCCCCTGGATTCCACCTAGGGCGCTACGGCGGGCCCTTAGATGCTCATCTGACGGTAATTTAATGCCTAAAACCCCGCTTTTGGGGGGATCTGCCCCCTGGACCCCACGCCAAATAGTGACCTGCCAGTGTCACAAAATAATAGGTATTAAAAAAAAAAAAACCTGAGCTTCCGGAGCCGGACAAGTTTATCAAAATGTGTTTATCTGACCGCAGGCGCGTAGCCA